GTTAAGATGTTTTGCATGTAATGCACAAAAAATCCACTAAAAATTGTACATTGAAAAAATAAAAGTATTTCAGGTTACCGCTTCCACCTGCTAAGTGATGAGGTTGAAGTCCTTCCCCATTTGTTTCACCCCAGGCAAAACCTTATGAAGAGTATCATCAAAGGGCAAAACCAAGATCAAAAACGTAACAGCTTCTCATGAAGGCCATAAAAGAAAAAGGTAATGTAGGAACTGTTCCTGGATTACACAAGTGAAAAGTATAACTTTTAGGAGATAATTAATGAGATTTGAACATCATTATGGGAATTTCAGAAATTGAGGGGAAGGGGTGGAGGGTCAGCCTGCTGAGAGTGCACTGTCAGATACTCCTGGAATAGAATTCCTCTTTATGATCACGAAAAGCAAAATTGATTCATTCTAAGGAAAAGTTTCAAATAATACCAAATAATAAGTAGTTCTTAGACTAGATTTTCTCAAAGAAGAAAGGACTGAGTGGACTCTAGCCATTGTTAACAAATACCCAAAGGTGTACCATGAACACAAAAGGCAGAACTGCTCTGAGGTCAAAGATTAGACAGATGAAATTTTCAGGAGTGCAAAGGTAAAGAGAAAATGCTACATCTTTAATAGAATATAAATAAAAAGACACCTTTGGTGTTGAGGTGGGCATACTGAAGTGCCAGGTGCTTAGATTTTACTACATGTAGGTATTATTGAAGAGTTACAAAATTATCTTCCTGTTAGAGTGACATTGACCTTAATTATCGAATCAGAGCTCCAAGCCCCATCTTTCTGGGTCAATCAACTAGCAAAATTTAACTTTAATATTGTTTGGTTTAAGTTGGCAGTCGGTCACCAAGAGTTGCTGTGAGTGGCCTAAAACTCAGGATGTGACTAAGATGGGAAGGTATAATGACTGGACTTCTTGTTTTGTTAGCTTTGCTTCAGGAAGAAATAAATGATAGCATCCATGGCTGCCGACATGCCTTTAGGATTTGTTTACTTTGAGCCTGTATGAAGCCCCTGTTATTGGTTCATCTCTGACCTTGCAGCTAGTTACATCATCTGTAGACCTTTATCAATCATGGAAGTGTCAGCTCCATGCTAAGACCCACTGTTCCCCATCACCTGAAGTAAGAAGCTTTGGCTTGATGACCACCAGTGAATCCATAGGGTTCAAATCTCACACAAAGAGTTGGAAAAAGAACTGTTATCCGTCACAATCCCATAAGAGGAATATACATTTATTCTAGAGAACAAGTGTAAACCCCAGAAAAGCATGTTGAGACAGCCAGCTAATATTTCTTTATCCTTAAAAAAAACAATAAAAGTAAGAAACATTTGCATCCTTCCAAACTTGACTATGGGGATTTTCATGACAGTGATTTGCAAAGTGGCCAGTTGACTAGAATAACCAGAACTATCTTAGGTCAGTAGCTTAGTCCCTCACTGATGCAGTGATGTGTTCATTTCACACCCTTCCACATTCACTGTCTATAAAAAAGCAAGCCTAAAGAAGAGAAAATTTTCAACTGCAATTGGCTGATTAGCTCTGTCAATTAAAGGCTTCATGAAACAAAAATTGATCCAGTTTAAAGGCCCTGCCATTGGCTCATCCTTAACCTTGCAGTTATTTATAGCAGCTTATGGCTCCTGATCGCTCCCCTAAAGGCTGTGCTGACTTGTTTCCTATCTTGCTGTGGAAGGAAAGCACTTAGAAAAGAGTTACCACCTGCTTAGAGACTTTCCCTTTGGTAACTTGTCTCCCTTTTTACAACTTTTAATCCCCTATTCACCCAAATACTACTGGCCTGTGGTCATGACATTTGACTCAGAAGAAGCTGACATATTGATATCTACGTGTCTCAAAGGATTCCTGGGAAGTAGATGGCTGCAGAGGGCTATTCCAGTCATTTCTTTTTGACTAATGTCCCCTTATCCATATCTCAGCAAAGGTAGTACTCACAAGTATATGGCTACCATGAGTAATGTTGCACTGCATTTGGAAAAAGAATTACTTTAGTCACTGAAAATGAACTGAGTATCTGTGAATCCACCATAATTATAATAGATTATAAGTCTCTTAGAATTATATAGATTATGTTCATGGAGATGAGTAAATTTTTCATAAAGAGGATACATAATAAAACTAAAAGGTTTTTTATTATTTTTATTTTCTTTGTATGAGTGTATTGTCTGCAAATATGTAAGTGCACCAGTTGTGTACTGTGTGTGGAGGTCAGAAGAGGGTGTTAGTTCCCCGGAACTGAAGTTACAGATGGTTGTTAGCCACTATGTGGGTGCTGGGAACCAAACGCTGGTCCTTTGCAAGAACTGCCAGTGTTTTTAACAGCTGAGCCATCTCTCCAACCCCTAAAAGGTTTTTTGAATGAAAAGGCTGCTAAATATGAGTCCATTTTTTTTTTGGTCTTTTTGAGACAGGGTTCTCCCTGTAGCTCCTTTCTTCAGAAATTGCCATCTCTCCAACCCCTAAAAGGTTTTTTGAATGAAAAGACTGCTAAATATGAGTCCATTTTTTTTTTGGTCTTTTTGAGACAGGGTCTCCCTGTAGCTCCTTTCTTCAGAAATTGTCATGAAGTGGATGAAAATCTGAGCAACTCATTAGACAATGCTTATTATACATGTATATAGAAAACTAAAGGTGGCAGAGCTTCTAAAACATCAGACAGGATGGAGTTGTACAGACGATTCAGTGGTTAAGAGGACTGGCTGCTCTCATAGAAGACCCAGGTTAGGTTCCCAGCACCTACGTGGTAGCTAACAACCAAGTTCCAGGGTATCTAACAATCTCTTCTGGCCTCCATGGCACCAGACATGTACATGATACACATACGTACATGCAGGCAAACACTAACGCACAAATAAAAATAACCAAATTTTTAAAAATAACCCAGACTGTCAATGACAATAGAAAATTAGGAAACCTTGTTCCTGAAATCTAAACCAGTGTTCTAATCATGTTATTAAGCCCAATTTTGTATAGGTTATTTGAGAAATAATGAGAAAACTGAAATCCCCGTGCCTGTTTTCTTATTCATAAAGTAAGACGAAAAATGCCCTAGACTTAAGATAATGGAGATGCAGTACCACAGAGGTGTTGTTGTTGTTTGCTTTGTCTTCTTTGTGGTCTTTGATTTTTGTTTTGTTTCGGTTTGATTTGGTTTGGGTTTCTTTGAGACAAGATCTTGTAGCCCCAGTTGGCCTGGAATTTCTTATATAGACCAGATTGTCCTCAGTCTCACAGAGATCCACCTGCCTTTGCCTCCTGAGTTCTGGGATTAAAGGCGTGCACCATCACTTCTGGTTACCACATAGTTTTGTATAGTTAATTTTTAATTTTTTCATCAGTAGTAGTTTCAGTTGTAAGTATGATGATATTAATGCAATTAAAATAAATATTATTAAATGAGAGATATTATTTTACAAACAGACATGAGAGAACAGAAAGTAAAGATACTTTCTGTATTAATTGATGAAGCACCACAGATATCCTAGCCAAGTTTTAGAGGATGGATATAATCCAGATCTGTGAGCCTTCTTGCAGAGTAAGCAGGGGAGCCAAACAAAGGGTCATTTAGAAAAAGTTACTAGGCTGGGAGGATGACTCAGTGAGTAGGAGAACTTGCTGCACAAGCAGGAGGACCTTAGGTCAGATCCACAGTACACATACGAACTGTGACTATGCAAGCCCACAACTCCAGCATTAGGGGGCAAGCACAGACAAGAGGATCACTGAGGCTTGCTGGCCCAGCAGCCTACCTGAAAAATGGTGAGCTCCAGGTTTAGCAAGGGGATCTGTGTCCGTCAAGGAGTGGTGACAAACAACTGTAATCCCTGTGCTCAAAAGGCAGAGAAGCAGGAGGATAAGGAGTTCTATGCAAGCCTTGGTTACATAGTGAATTTGAGGCCACCCTTGGTTATGAGACCTTGTCTCCAAAAACAAACATCAAAGAGATTCAGCTATGTCAAAGGCATCTTCACATATCAGACTAAATATCATAGGCTTGATATCTCTTTTTCTTACAAGGTAAACCTTGGTACAGGATGTGAAAATTAAACAGGTGTTTACCCAACATCCCCATTCCAGTAAGTTTCATCAGAATCCATTAAAGCAGCTCTCCTCAAGGTTGTCATCGTTCTTTGTTCAGGGACATAATTAGTCCTTGAATCAGAGGGGAGTATGTCATATGTTGGCTTGAGTTCCCAATGATAGACTATGTACACATAGAGGTAAAGAAGGGGGAAAGATTTCCACAAGGCTAAACAATATAAGCATTCTAGGTATGCCTAAAAGTTGAGTACAGGAGCAGCAGGATTGTTTCAACTGATGCCCACCCCATCCTCCAGGCCAACTATAGTCATCTGTCAAGACCCTGAGCATTGGAAGCTTGTATACATTTCATTTCTACAGTCTTTGGAAGGAGGTTGATATTTTATTAGCTGACAATTATTCCAGAGGAAACAGGAAAACAACTCTCCAAAATACATTTGTACAACTTCTAGGTTTATCCTCATGCAAAGCAATTATGTTTGGGTTCACATTCTGGTCCCTGAAAAAATAGTGTCACCTCACTGATGAACTAGCTTCAAGAAACTGAGTCTCCTTATCTTTACTCTGTTCTTCCATCAGCTCATCAGGGCTGAGTGAATGCATTGCAGAAAAAGAGAGAATGAGACAAAATATGAAAGGACGAGTGAAGAAAAAGAAGAGGAATCTCTTCATGCTTGCTCATCTGTTCAGAACTACAGAGGAGACAAGACCTTTGATTTCACCTCACAAGAAAAAAAAAACAGGGTTCAGGAAATTAGGGGCTTTCTAAAAACCCTGGAGGAAGTCAGATATTGAGCTAATCCTGGCAGAATTTGGGCCACCTTCCCCTGTCCCCTTTCCTACAAAGGTGAAATTTCCCACAGTCTGAAGGCCACACAATCAGTAACCAAGGGTAATTATTACACAGTGCAGTAGGTGGAGTCCATGTTGCCATCTGCCTATATGACCCTCAGTCCCTGGTTGTTTAATAGAAGTGCAGTATAGATTTCATCTAACCTTTTGACACAGAGCTGAAGCCATGAAGATGACAAGCATCCTTCTGCTCAGTACCTTGGCCCTGCTCATTTTACCAGGTGGGTGTGTTTGCATAGTCTTCAAATTTGATTAAAATTTTTTGATCTGTTGCTTTATTCACTATATTACCTTCCAGAAACTTAAATGCTCTAGTGTAATCACATTGATGTTAATACTAAAGACTAGGTTGATTCCTTGTCAGGAATGTGATAGACAAAAGAAAGCATTCCAATCCTGAATATCCGTCTAACTCTACAAATGACTGTGGCCAACTTACAAAATTTAAATTCTCATAAACTTGTATAAAATCAGTAAAAATGATGACTGCTAGTTGCTTTGATAAAATTCATATTTTGAGTGATTAAATTATTTTTGATATGTATAATGTTTGTAGTGGAAACATCCTGTTTGAATAAGTGAAGAAATCTCCAGACATACCATAATAATGCTGGATGATAACTCTCCTGACTTCAGCTTCATTTTTATCACTGAAAGTAACTAACACTTTTACCTTCATCACTGATCGGGCAGAGATTATTTCTCAGCCAGATCTGCACTTTGCAAAGAAACAGAATAACTTATTTGTTCTCTTAGATATTTACAGAAGCAAAGGGCCTTTTCGTCTACTTTGTGCCTGTTACTTAATACAGGTCGATGTCTGTAATGAGCTCCTGCTCAGCAAGTTTTAGATGAATTTAGATTCTGGATCCAGTGGGACATCAGCAACTACATCTGGCTCTGGTGATTCCCAGAGATCTAAATTCCCTCAGAGACCACTGATCTGAAAAGTAAATCTCACCAGCCTTTCTTCATTTTTGGACTATCAGATTGGAATCCTTCCCCTAGTAAACTACCACATTCACAGTTACTAGCCTCTTTTGATGTCAAAAAGACTTGCTGTTTTCTCAAGAATGAAGAGGGTCTTTTTTGGTGTATGTAAATTCAAGAAAAGCAAGTTGGATCTATAGTCAGTCAGTGTAATGTAACTGTGGGAATAAGTTCTTTGAGACCTGCTGGCTAGCTAGCAACATTTAGCAATATTTACAAAAGGGAACTCAAATGCAATTGCATCAGAAGACCTGGTTACTGCCAGTCTTTATTTCCCAGATAATATATAAATGCATCAGACCTCCATCCAAATACTGAAGGATTCATACTTATAATTCACTTTCTGTGAATGTTCTAGTGCCTGTAGAAAGACTACATGATTGATGAACATCCAGAATATATTTAAATGATATTTAATACATTTCAAACTATAAGTACATTATTTCTATTTTCAAGGATGTAGATCAACTTCCTGAAATGACAAATTAAAATTTTTGTTTATGATCTAGTTTTTGCTTATTTTTTTTAAGATCTTAGAGGCAGGGAGTGAAGGGAAACCCATCATATGTCCTTAAGAGTAGGATAAAAACAAAGTGGGGCGTGAATGATGACAGCAGAGATGTTACTATGAAATCAATAAGAATAGATCTGGCTTCTCCATTTAGGATCCTACTTAACATGTTTAACTTATATTTTCTAGGTAACACTACAGCTAACTCCCTAGGAAGACAGGTAATGAGAATTTTGTATTTCTTATTTCTCAAATTCAACAAAAGTACAGCTAAGATCTGAGCAGGTGGTACTCACTTGTAATCTCAGAGCTCAGGAGCCTAGGCTATAGATCAAGTTTGAGGCTACCTTGGGCTACATAGCAAAACTTTGTCTCGAAAAATAAATACAGTGTAGCAATTACCTTCTACTTTATCCCGAGTAGAAGTCAGGATGAGGGGTTCAAAGGGTCGAAACTCTCTACTATTAAATGCAGGTAGTAATAACAGTTCCACCTCCCCCACAGACCTGTGTTGAAAGACAAGTTCACCAGTGCCTGGACTAGTACTATGAAGTTGTCTAATGCCCAAAGGATCTTTATAATATATATACTATGCTGGAATAGGAAAAAATAGTTTGAATGGAAGCTTTCTCATGTTCATGCCAAAAGCCTCTGTTCCTTACAACCAATTTAACCATGTTAGCATTACTTTCTTCACATTCACATACTGACACTCTAACTTAAAAATGATCATTAAAAAATAGCAAGCTAAGTTTTTCATCTTGAAAAATATTCTAAATGTAAGTTTTCTATGTTTTAATTTTTGGAAGTTAATTTCCATATTTTGGGAGACCTATTTATGTTGAGGAGGAAGCTGGCTATGAACTAAAGTTCATAGTGAATGAATTGTTATTTTTTTGATAAGTATTATGGATAAAATCTGGCACAATTAGAATCCAAACCCAATAAGAGAAAAGAATGCCATCTCCCCGGGTAAGTGAGGGCTGGTTGTTTTGATCTGTGAAGCATAAATGAGGGCTGGCAAAGCAGAGTTGGGGGACCAAGGTCATGGAATGAAGAGCTGAGGAGGCAAGGCAACTTTCAAGAACCAGAACGACTGAGTTTGGATCAAGGAATTATTAGATATGGGACCTTTACTCATCTCATCACTTTTGGATTCTTCCCTTGAGGAAGTGTTGGAAAGATAATTTTACAAGGTAGTCATGAGGTGTATCAGTGAATGAATTGTTAAGGGTCCATAAAATTCCCTAAATTGACCACTTGGACACTGAGTATCAGTAAAAAGGAGTGCTTTACTGGAACCAACTGGTTGGGGATGCAGACATTCTCAGGAGCTGTGCTGTGACCCTGAACAGTAAAAACACGGGGCTCATTTTAAGCAGAAAAAACACAAAAAACACAAGGCAGGGGATGTCCATAGAAACTATGCACGAAATAACCAAGGAAGGATTGGAACAATCTAGGGCTGATTTCCAGAGACTTTACCTATACAACCATTGGCTGTCTTACCTGGGGCAGAACGTTCTTTCTCTTCTGCCTCAGATTATTCCCATAGAGACCACACACAGATGTATCAAGTATACTGTCATTGGCTAGCTCACCTGGGGCAGAACGTTCTATCTCTTCTGCCCTAGACCATTTCCATAGAAATCATAAGCAGATACTAGGAAAAGGTTCAAACAATGAAGGGGATTTCCAGAGTTAGGTGGAGGGCAGCTTTTTCTCAGAGGATAGGGAGGGCTCTGAGTGCCATTCTCTTTCAGAATAATTGACAGTTTTGATTAAGAGGTAAGATTTTTTCAATAGAATAATACATAAAAAGCACTCAGGATAGTGTCTGGCTTTTAACAGGTGTTTGGTGATAACTCTTAGCAGAATAAATAGTTCAAAACCTCCAACCATGGTAGCCATCTAGTACATTGACACGTGTACTACCTGCACTACAACAAGGAAGAGCATGGCCCCAGTAGCACCTGACCCTCCAAAATCCAGCATCTGCAGTAATTGTGAGCTTAAGCATTATTTCATTGCCTCTGTCAGACTTTACAACAGCATTAGGACATAAGTAGAAATTATAGTTTTCTCAATTTGTAGGTGAAGTGATTTAGACTCAGGGAGAAGCCAATAGACTCAGCAGTGTCATGTAATTAGGAAATGGCAACAGCATAATTTAAAATCAGATTTTCTGACTCTGGGTTAGATTACTTTTGCTGTTTCTGTTGCTGGTTTTCTTGTTGTTTTCTTACAACATTCAGTGTCATTCTTCTAATTACTAAGATATGAAAGCAATCTTAATATTTTGTTATAAACTCATTTGATTAATGATATAAAATTATCACACTTGATATCATTTTAGGCAAATTGCAATAATGCAGCTGTGGGATGTCCCAAAATTTACAACCCTGTGTGTGGGACTGATGGAACTACTTATCCCAATGAATGTGGGCTGTGTTTGGAAAATAGGTAAGTATAAACTTTATTTTTTTAGGGGCTGGAGAGATGGCTCAGTGGTTAAGAGCACTGGCTGCTCTTGCACAAGACCCAGGTTCGAATCCCAGCACCCACATGGTGGCTAACAACCATCAATAACTCCAGGTCCAGGGGAATCCAACTCCCTATTCTGACCTCTGTGGGCATTGCAGCACACAGGTTCACTTGCATACATGCAAGCAGTACACTCATACATATAAATAAAAAAATTAAGTTTAATTAAAAATACATATTTCAAAAAGACCAAAAAATATATATATTTTTTAAGTTAGTTAATTTCAAACACTTGAATATCTTACCCTTTCACAGCCTCAATGAAGCTTAATTTTCTGGAGTGTTTAATAGTGAGTAAAGGGAATCAAACTCAGGACACAGATAAATACAAGTTTCTCTCTTACCCTATGACTGAGCACTTGCCATATACCAGGCATTATGCTAGGCCTCTTCTGTTTCCCATGTGCTTGTTACTAAGAAAATACATAAATCATTAGCATGTAAAATAGCTTCTTATAAGTTGTGGCAATTGCCATCTAACAGTATTAACTGTTAGGGGAACAAAGCATGGATGGAGATGTCTTCTTACTGAAAGGAGTTAAGCAAGGATTAATGAAAAGGATCATTTAAATGAGACTGAATTTCTATCAAAACCAAAGGAATTACACAAGTGATTGAAAATGGTTTTTCTAGATCGACTTGATGCTAAAGACTTAACTTAGGCTCAAATGATTAGAAATCCCTTCTCTACAATGCAAACCCTCTTCTGGGCCTGCTCTGAATGATCTCAGAGAAGTGTCAGAGTTTAGCCAAGATTGTCAAAATAAATTTCCAAGATAAGAGGTCAAACATCTTGAAGTCTTAGATCCAAAACATTAAGTATTCTTCTCGGTGAATATGTTCCCACCATAAAGATATATACGAGGTGCCGTGCCTGCAGTCCCAGCATTCATGAGGCTAAGACAGAAGCCTGAGTTCTAAGCCAGTCTGTTCAGCCTACCAGCCTGGACTGTATGTTGAGGACCCATCTCACAGAGGGTGGGGGTGGGAAGTATGGGGTGTATCTTGTGGAAAGAATTAATTTGAAACCACCTGTAAATTTTCTCATGACTCATATTGTTGACATTAGGTCAAACATTTTTTCTATCCAAGGGAAGGAGGAAAGCACTAAAGCAACCTTGAGATTTGGGAAATTTCCAAGTGTTTTTCCAAAGTCTGAAGGCCTGCTACTTAGAATGGGCACGGGGAAAATAAGAGCAAAAGGCTTGGAATGTGTTTGTCCTTTAGCCTTCAGAACCTACTAATTCCAGATTTCTCTTTCTATTCTTTCAAATGTGTGTCACTATAAAAGGAAAATTTGATGCCAGAAAGCATAACATTTCACCCCATGTTTCTAAAATAAGAAAGCTTAGGTCTAGAGATAAATTTGGCTCTCTCAAATGCAGAAAATGTCCTAAGGTTTCTATACTGCTGTTATTTCTCTTGCCCATTAAAAAGCACACACAAATCACCTGTGTAGTAACTATTAATAGAGCCAGGCTCTGACTCCAGCTGTCCGGGTTTGAGATATGCATAAAACATTAAACAGGACTTGTACACCATCGGGTGCTTGCAGGTATGCTCAAAGAGCATGTCATTTCTTTCTTCTACACTGTCTTAGGGAAAGTATGAAAAATTCTATAGATCAGCAATGTCTAACATAATTTTCTATAATGAAAGAAATGCTGCTTGTCTATGCTGCCCAATACTTAGTCACTAGCCACAATATGCTAGTCATTAGCACTTAAATGCAACTAGTATGACTGAGAAGATGAATTTTTAATATTGTTTAACTTTTTTAAGTAACTAAATGTGGATAGTAGGAATATCAAACCACAGCAAAAAGCATAGCTCCAGAGAACAAGGCAACTCTTAAACAATGTTTAGATGACTGTGCTTTACATGAGTGACTTTGAAATCAATATTACAAAAAGTTAATGTTAATGGGATAAGAAAGCATTAAAATCTCTTAAAATGAAGAAACAAAAATCCATAATAACTACAAATAAAAGTAGTTGAATGTCAGATCTTCATAAAAGAAAAATGGAAAAATTTTATATGCCATTATAGTTAAGGAAAGGATGACTAGAAAGATAAGTCTAAAATCAAGTCTTATAAGGAGAGGATTACAGAACTGAAGGTTGTTTAGATTTTAGGAGAGGAAACTAGATTGGCTAGTGGAGGAAGGGAATGGCAGAGACGGTTTTATCTGAAGGGGAATGTGCTTAGTGTAGGCCTCTATCATGGGAACAAGAAGGATGACTTCACAGATTCAGACCCCATCTTATAAAATGAAATATTAAGCAATTAGAAGACCCTGCAATATCCCAGGCACCAGCCAAGATAGAAACCAAGTTGTTAAGTCAGTAGCATCAGGAGCAAAAAAAAGCAGCAATGGAGTCAAGTTTAATTCCAAGGGTTCCTAGTAACATCGTATTCAGTCTACAAATAGTAATGGCAGAAAAATTTCCCATTCTGTTGTACCCCTTTTGAATGTAATAGTAATCAACAAATATTCAATGAATAAATGAGTGAATAAATGGTTTAGGGAAAGAGGACATGGAAATAAATCATAAGCCTCTCTTTCAAATAAAGATGGAGGTTTTTGCAGCAACATTCTCTCATAATCATTTGTGACAATAACGTTAAGCTGACTGTGATTATTTTCTTTAATCTCTTCTATAGGAAGCGTCAGGTTCCTGTCCTCATTCAAAAACTTGGGCCTTGCTGAAAGTCAAAGTTTTGAAATCTATTAAGACTACCGTGATGCTTGGCTAGCCTGATTGTTGAATAAATGCATCTGAATACGCCTTGTTCTTCCCAAAACTTTCTCCTCAAAGTCACGTGTGTTTATACCCAGAACAGCACACCAGGGCAAGTCTCAGACTAATAGACCAAGTTTTACCTGAAATTACAGCACACCTGTAATTTCAGACAGGAAATGTGTTTGCAGATCATAAATGGCAAGTCACAGTTGAGCATGAACATGTGGAGGGGTTAGGGTTAGAATTAAGAATCCAGAGCTAGAGAGATGGTTCAGCAGTTAAAAGCACTGACTGCTCTTGCAGAGGACCTGGGTTTGATTCCCAGCACCCACATGGCGGCTATGAACCGTCCTTAACTCCAGTTCCAGGGGAATCTGAAGCCCTCTTCTGACCTCCGTGACATTGCACAGCAGGGGTGCACTCACATACATGCAGGCAATATACTCATACACATAAAATAAAAAAACAAATAAATAAAAAGAATCCTATACACACTAGTCTTGAACTACACAGTCACCCTCCTACCTCAGCCTCCTAAATCACTAGAAACAGGTGTGTGTGTGTGTGTGTGTGTGTGTGTGTGTGTGTGTGATACTGGCCAACATGAAAAGAGACTGCAGAATGTTTATCCCTGAATAAATAGGACACTGATATCAAACTTCTGCCTCCCAAGACTCAGAGGTCGTTGCATAAGAGAAAGATTTTCCATTTCACTTTTATGGAGGATCTGACATTCAGCTATTTTTATTTGGACCTTTTTTTCTGGATTTTTATTTCTTTATTTTAAGAGATTTTAATGCTTTCTTATCCCATTAACATTAAATTTTGGTAACACTGATTTTCCAAGTCACTCAAGAGCCAGAGGAGTTGAATGACCACTAGGAAATAGAGATTTCCAGACAACTCTTTAGTTACTCATATGAACTCACAGAAATGGTGACAGCATGCACAAGCCCCATAGGAGCTCAAGCCAGACAAAATCTCAGGACAGACAAGGGGAAGTGGACAAGTCCCAACCCTGAAAAACCCACACCACAGGGCATTTGGGGAACAACCCTGATTCTCTCTCTCTCGCTCGCTCTCTCTCTCTCTCTCCCCAAACACACACACACACACACACACACACACACACACACACACGTGAACAGAAATTTGGTAGGGGTTAGAAAGGAGTTGCAGATACGTGAGGGGATCTAAATATCAAAATACACTGAATAAAATTCATAAACAAAAAATAATTTAAAAAATTCTATACAGTACTAGACTTCCATTCTAAGGAGTACTTGGAAACTCTTAGAGCAGAAATTTGATATGTGTCACATTTGACTGAGTAATGTCTTTCTGGTTCCTTAGGATTTCTGTGAATGAACAGCGTTCCCAGCCAGGTCTATGAACACAGATGTGGAGCCTAATATCTGGTAGAACAGAATTGTTCCTTGAGATTTTCTACATATCTCAAATAGTAGATTATACATCAGAAACAATCCTCTCAAAGTGGTTTGAATCATTAAGGAAACATAAAGCCTCATTTTTCTCAATAGTACTGTGTATTACTTCTATATTTAGCCAGATTTCTTTCCTGGCATACACAAACACCAATTTGCTACTAACATCAGTAATAGTAAAGTATATAGAGCTCTAAGTTTTCCCTGATTAAATCAGGTTTGGGCTTTTAATTCCCTCAATAAATTTAGCCTGATTGGGAACATAAAAGAAAGACATTTATTTAAGGCTCATAGGATTATAATATGGAAACAGACTCAAATATTCTAGGGTGTGTGTTCCCACATTTTACAAAATAGGGGCCCAGAATGAAGTTTAAAACCACCCAAAGGAGGGGAAAATCACATCAGTGTCAGGATTTTGGATTGATGCTGGAATAAAGTAAGGTGTTTTTTTAGTTCGGGACCAGGTAAATATTAAGTCTCTGGACCGATTCTCAAACAGGGAAAGGAATATTACCATTCTGTATCTCCCCAGAAGGCAGTAGTGTTCCAGGAAGTGATGGCTTAGTTTCCTCCAAGAAGCTAGCTCACACCCTGGTACAAACACCCAAACAACAACAAAACTTTGAGTACAGACATATTCTTGATCTGAGCTACCTGTCACTGCTCAACACCATTTTGAGTGGTTTGGACCAACATGTTTTCATTTTGGACATATATCTTGACAGGATGGAGGACTTTTCAAAGGCTTGCAAACTGAGCCAATTGGGGGTGATTCTGAATTGTGGGTTAAGAAATGTGGATTCTTTGACTGCTACACCATCTCCAACAGATGATCTGGCAAGGAAAAATGGGCTGTATAGCTGAGGGACTGAGTGCAGGGCTTGGCGTAACTGTATGTGAGCCCCCATGACTTCATATGTGAGCCCCCATGACTTCATATGTGAGCCACCGTAAATTCATATGTGAGCCCCCATGACTTCATATGTGAGCCACCGTAAATTCATATGTGTATAGCCACCATGAGACTTCATATGTGAGCCCCCATGACTTCATATGTGAGCCCCCATGACTTCATATGTGAGCCCCCATGACTTCATATGTGAGCCACCGTAACTTCATACGTGAGCCACCATAACTTTGCAAGATTCTTCCTATCCTGTAAGCAAACTTTGAAGTAAAGTCACTTGACTAATAGGACCAGCAAACAAGTACCTGGCAGAGCTGGTCTTTTAATTCAAGGCTCACCTGAAATGAAGATCAATGCTTTTTGTTTGAAATCATAATCACCTCATGTGGATTAAGCCTTGATTTTCTTCAATAGGAACAGTAGATAATATCCTCCTGATACAAGATATTATGTGTTTATATTCAATAACAGCAAATGAAATGTAAATAGGGAAGTGCTCCTAAGGGGAGAAAATGTCTAAAACTGTTTTTTAAAAAAATTAAAGAAGGAAAACTCACTTGAAATCCTGAGTTTCTAAAACATTTACCTTAGGTGGAGAGGTGATAGAAGGCCAACAGAGGCAGAACTGTATCATGACCTCTAACACAGTGGATGGGTCAGCCATTGAACCAGAAATAACAAATGCAAACCTCTTTCACACTTGAAACAGTTCTTGTGAAAGTCCCAGAATTCCTGCCTTAAAATTGAGCTCTGACCACTAGAGGATGCTGTAGTCTGCCAAGCCACAGCCAAAACAGTCAGACAGATTTCACCAAATACCTTGCTCATAAAAGTTGTGGATGCAAAATGGCTTCCAGCACCTTGTTTGTGATGCCAGGGGACAATTTCAGGACATTTCTAGAATCAGAGAACACATGATGCTAAAATCAATTCAGTCACCGAATGCTGTAAATTGTCACATCTAGCTGGACCAGTCTGCAAGTTCTCACAGAAGTTTTGTTTTGTTTTGTTTTGTTTTGTTTTTCTTACTTATAAGCACATGCAAGACCTAATCCCAAATCACTTATGTTTAATGACTCTGATCCTGTCTGGCCCATCAGAAGACATGTGGATTTTGTGTCCAAGTCTGGTGGTTATGTTTCAAAAGGGATGCTTCACAAACCAGAACATGTTTAGGAGAGAGAGACTATCAAAATTGATAAGAATGTGAAACTTCAACCTGAAGAGTGATTCAAAGATGGAAAATTGACTGAAAGGAAAACTCCTCAGACTTCATAGGCCTTTCAAAGGGCTGAAAATATGAACACAACCACCTCAGCTCTAAACAGGATATGTTCCTTTCCTCCTCTAAGACTCAGAGAACACTGCCGAAGAGGAGGTGAATAGAATGTGAGAGTCAGAAAATAAGGAGGGGTTGTATGACATGGACACGACACAACCATTTTACATGTGAGCTCACTGCAGCTGTGTTTTCTGCATAAGATCCATCATTCATCAATATTCCATTATGGATGGGAAGGAGACTCATGAGGCCCCATCCCTCTCCGAGGAGCTATTGGAAGTTAATGGTTACTGGAGGAGGGGAACAACCCTAATTCAACTCAGTGCGTAATTTTTTTTTAAAGAGCAGAGACATTCTGTTATACACACTTTTAAATATACTTTGTATTAATTTTTTGTTATGTGCATGCATGTGATAGCTTCCAATCAGACTCACTCCCAACTCCTCCCCTACTTTTCCTCGGTACCTCCCACATCTACCTCCAACTTCATGTCCTCTTTGTAACCAAGTGAGTCCAATTAATGCTCCCCGTATACACGTGAATGTGGTCCATCTACTGGAGCAAGGTCCATCTACCAGGGATGGAACCCCTACAGAAAACTGACTCTCCCTCTCTTAGCAGCCACTAACTCTCAATAGCTCCTCAGCTAGGGGTGGGGCTCCATGCCCTCAACCCGTCCATGCTGGAATAGTGACTGGCTTGATCTTGGTCAGTTCTTGTTAAGAAACCATAGCTGCTGTTATTTCATGAGTGTAATGATCCTGTCATTTCCAGAAGACCGTTTTGCCCCAGTTCTTCCTGACCTTTGGCTCTTATGATCCTTTTACCCTCTCTTTCATGATATTCCCTGAGCCTCAGGAGAACTAGTGTGATATAGATGTCCAATTTTTGGCTGAGCACCCCACATCCATGTGTTCTCAGTATTTTTGACAAGTTGTAAGTCTTTGTATGAACCACCATCCAATGCACAAACATGCTTCCTTTGTAAGACTGAAAGCACCAATCTATGAATATAGAAATGCATATTTAGAAAGGAGTTCAATACTATACTATGTCCATTTAACACAATAATAATAATAATAATATGTTCACCTCTAAGGCCTGTAAGTTTCCCAGTCACTGCTTCTTGGTCAGATTTACAGAACTAAGGATGAGGTTCCTTCTATGGAAAAAGACAAATCCAATCAGAGAATTGGATTTGACTGTTGGGTATCCCCGTAACAGTCATTGTACCATGGACATCTCTTGCCAGACCAGTCATTGCTATAGTTCATAGGGTATACTGCTGGGTAAAGCTGTTGATAACTCTTCTCTGCCAGAAGTCTCAATAACACATTCTGGTCCTATGAAAGCTACCCAACAGGGAGGAAGCTTCCAGGTCAGTACCAGCTTGATTTCTCTAAGTAC